TGTGTTTTGTGTACTGTTGTTTGTCTGTTTTTCCCATTTCTGTTTTAGCTATGGCGTTGTCAGTTTATTTTCGACTTGTGAGTTTGAATGTCCCTTTGATATCTTTCGTCTGTCTTTTAGCTAAACATAAAGGAATCGCGTTACCATGTCAACGGGGACATGAACGTTTTTTGTCACCGTTTCTTTTATATGTTTAGAAGTAGCTTTCAACAAACAAAATTCAAGAAATCTGAGACTACGTGTGCCGCGACTTGGTTTGTGGTTACAAGGAATTGATATTAAAAGTGGATTGTTGTGTATGTTATTTGTTCGATGGTGTTATGTTTTTCTCAATCATATTTAACTCATGAAATTAATTAATTGTTAGGCAAAAAAGTCATCATTTTGATTTGAATGCTAATACCCGTGTTAATTTATCAAGTCCAAGTGTGTAAAAACCAAAAACTTGTAGAAGTTCCATTTTCATACCCATGCTTGTTTTTGTCCATACTTAAGTTTCAGTTTCAATTTGATTTCGTTTTTCGTTTTGTTTGTTAGGCTATTATGATTAATTTATGAAGCTGCCATTATTTTTTCTTTTCCTCTGCTCTTAAGCGTTGGGTCATACAATTAGTAAATAGAGTCATCGATGATATGAATAACAAACCACAAAACTGTTGTGCAACGGAATTTCATACTTTGCATGTATAACTTATAACAATGATTTTAAGGGGAATCTTGCATCTCATGTTGTTCATTTTCCTGTTGCATACAAAGTGCCTGATTAACTTGTGACCTTGTAATTACTACATTCTTATATAAATACAATGCTGAGGCGATTTCATTTCAATTGCTGGGAGTTTCTTGGTTGACCATAGTGATCAAATCATAAAAGTAAGTTTATGTTACCTTTTTCTGATACCAAAATACAATAATTACTAAAAAAACTTTTCTATTTAACAAAATTAAACATTATTTATTCATGATGATACCATCTCAAATTCTATGCTAGAAATACGGTCGTTTAATCTGTGTAGTTAAAACTGTTTTTTTTTTAATTTTCAAAAAAAGAAGGCTTTATTCAGTAACTGTATCATGACTAGTTCAATATGTTAACAGTCGCTGTATTGTTTTGAATAATCTTACATTATACCGATATAATTTAATTAAGTGATTTTATTTGTTCGAGTTTTCAATTTCATTACTAGTATTTTATTAAATCTAGCATTATGAATGTAACACATAACCGACGAATGTTTATTATCTGTCGCGTATCAGAAATCTCGTTAGTTGTCGTCTTTTTTGAATGGTATTTGAGTATTATGTTGTTGTCTTGTTTTCAGTCATACTGCAGAAAACATGGTAGGTAACACTTGTGGAGCAGGCAATAAACACTGTACGTTTACACCTGAGTTTGTCCACAGCTGATGGTTTGTTTGTGTTGCTTAAACTTTTGAATTCTGTTGTTTTTTTTGCGATATGTCATATGTCTTTCGCCTTTGCTTTTTAGTTATGATGTCTGTATTTCTTCTAGTTATGGTTTTGATTTCCCCTTTTAATAGTTTCTAGCTTTTGAGCTCATGTGGCTTATGATGCCATATTGGTTATTATCATCAGTTTGCGTCCGTCATCCGTTCGTCTATCCGTCCTGTGTTAGTCGTCCATTTATAGTTTGACAACTTACAATTTCATCATCTCCTGTTAAATAATTGGTAAACTTATCTTGAACTGAATAATACATGAACTTCTCCTCATTTCCTAATTTTGTTCTGTGCTAATGATAAAATTTGCCACTGTCGATAATGTTTTATTCCGATTTTAAATATATAGTCAACAACTGAATAAAGACAGTTTGAACGATTCTTTCCTCCAAATAATTAGCATTTGACTTCACTAAAATTAGTCACAAACTCCTTCATACAAAGCTCTTTTTAGATGAGTTACGAATATTTTGACCTAATGTTTTATATTTGAAAAAATGCCTATCAACTGCTTTGATTCGAGCGCTTCTGATGATTCTGATGTAGACGATTAACATGTCTGGCGTACCAGATTATAAGCCTGGTATCGTTGATCAGTTGTTTTACAATTTTGACTTTCCTACTTTTGTTCTTATGCTTTTCGAATGTTGCACATTTACTGTCTATCGCCCTTAATTTGTGACAACTGAACGATTTTTAGTTTCGCGCAATAACAGCAGTCAACATGGTCATTTATTTTCAAAATAATATATCACGTTTTCTTTGTTTTACAATTAAATTTCGTATTGTAGATGTCTTTACAAATACGGATGACGCTTTTGTTTGTAATTTGTTGCGTTGTTATTGGCATGGCAAACGCGGCTTGCTGTCATAAACCTTATTGGTATCATTGCTGGGACTGCACTGCGGGTACCCCGTACTGTGGATATGGTCCATGTAACATATTCGGCTGTGGATGCACTTGTCGTACAGAACCATATGGTAAATCATGTTATGAACGTGGGAGCCGATGTCATTGTTACTCTGACAAACGAAAACGCCGTAGTGTGTCGTTTAACGACATTTCTGCAAATGTAAAGTTTGCTGGTCTAGATATCAACAGGTTAGTATTGACAACATAGATTTTTAGATTAAATAATTTGCAAAAACACAAACAAAGTTCACATTAACAACTTGACACCATACATAATGTTATTATTGTTTTTCGTTAATTTGTTGCTATCTCATTGTCATTTATCCAATAATTCTATTTATTCATATGAAGGACGCTTTCAGGATAAGAAAAATGCGTTTTTGAAAAAGGGTTGTTATCTATCTTTCATTTATTGACTTCTTGTCTTTTTTCAAGATACCGGTTGAATTCGAGTTTGGCATGTTGCATTTAAACCTTCCGATATATCTGTATTTGTTCTGTGGTTGTTTAGGGACGGTAAATCGTCATATTGTTACATATTGATGCTTATTCAAGTTTTTCTTTTGGGGTGGGTGGTTATTCAAAAATTATTTTAAATTTATATAAATTAAACAAGAACAAACATTGTATTATATTTATATCTTAAAAAAGCGTATTCAATAGTCCTTACTAATGTTTTATTATTTTTTTGTAATAATTTTCTATCGTACTTTAATTATAAGTATCTCAATAGGATTTAAGGCGTATAAACAGCCGGAGCTATTTATCCATCTTGGGGACTAATTTTAGGGGTATTTTTGAGTAGGAATCATGTGGCTGTTTTTTGTAGTTTTAAAGTCATGTGCTTGTTCACGTTTTACATTTGTTATATCCCCAGAATTAATAGAAGATTACAAAACGTATTTAAGGATTGAACACATTTTTCTAGAGGTTATTGATGTGTAAACTGGGTCGATTTACTCACTAACTGAATGAAAGTCCAAGGGACTTTTATGTAAAGTTTGTGACTCAGAGAAATTAGTTTCGGCAATATGGTCTATTGAAGTGTAAACACAGGGAAAAAAATCTAACTGATCAATCCGATTCAAGTATTTGTAGATATGCAAATCATATAATTATTATAAGTTGTTGTTTTTGATTTTGTTTCCCTTTAGATCAGATTGATTTCAATGATTTACGTGTGGGCGTGGTATTTTGTTTTAATTATATCTTATATTTGTGTTCACTTTGCTGCTTTGTGGCATTGGGTTTTGAAGATTTTAAGCCCATTTTTATTTTATTTAAGCATTTTTTAATGCATTGTAGTTAAGAGGTTTAGTTCTTATAAGCCCCTTTTCATATAATTCAGACCATTTCAAATAGATAGTAAAAATATCATATAAATTGACAAAAGAAAACCTTCAACATTAGTTCCTCTCATCGTGTTAATCAGGTCAAGCACAAATTTGTTTGCTAACAAAGCACAAACTTATAAATAGGTTAGTATTTAAATAACAGTTTATAGCTAATAGTTAATTTTCTTCAATAATTTAATTTGCAGTTAAACTCCAGGTTATAATAAATTAATAATACATAACAATAATTAGATCTGGTATGATTGCCAATGATACCATTATCCACCAGAGTTTAAATAAAAAGGATATAAGCAATTATAGTTCAACGTACGGCCTTCAAAGATGAGAAAATTCATACCGTATAACCGGCTATAAAAGGCTCCAACACGATAATGTGAAACAATTCAAACGAAAAAATAAATCTCCGAATTTATTTAAAATTTTTGTTTTTCGAAGAACACATATGACAGACATGAACCAACAACAACCACTGAAATACAAGTTCTCGATTTTGTACAGACACATAAAGAATGTGGCGGAATTGAACATGTTTGTGAGCTCTTAGTCCTGTCTCCTACCTGGTTCATAGGTGTAACATTACAACAGAAGAACAAACTGTCAAAATCGGTAGCAAATTGCTTAACTCAATAGATCGGTACGAGCACAAAACCCTCTAACATAAACACAAAGCACCTATATAAGAGTACTCGTAGTTACTGAAATCTAGTTCAAACCGAGTTGTAACTAACACATACATTATGTGCTCCCAAAATAAAGTATCAACCAGTACACATACAACATACGGATGTAGTGGATCAACAATAAACAGTATGGGAAACGCATGAAATTGTGCAATTCAAAAATATAAGTAAACAATATCGACAGGATGGAGGATCATGATTTCTCATAAAATATATAGCATTATATATTTAGTTATATTTTAATTTTTTTTTAAACAAAATATATCAAAAGTCGTAACTTGAAGTAGGCAAAGAGCGTTCTTAACAAGCGAATTAATATATATCATATTTTCTGACATACGTGTTGTGCCTTGTAATTGGCATTGGAACATTTTCGAAAATAAATATTAGGTCATATCCCTCTAGGAGATAATCAATAAATCTTTATTACGGTAAAGAAAAAGGTCATCATATAAATGAATAATTAATGTTTGGCAAACTTTTTATGGTCGTTTTTTGTTAACAAATGAGAATAAGTTTAATATACATCAGGATAAAACTCAAGTAACAATTTACTTTAAAAAGTATTTTCTAACTATTTTTGACCTTTAAGAGATGGATTGATTGAACAGTTTGAGTTCATGGACGCCTTGAAACAGATGGACATAACGGACAACGCAACGATTTTTCACCATTGGTCAATAATGGACGAAGATAAAGATGGAACAATTACTCTGGAAGAATTTGACAAAGAAAAAATATAGTTGACTCTGATCACAATCGGACTTTTGAAATGAATTAAACAAAATACTGCATTAGTCTGTGTATTTTATATATATTTTTAGATTTGTTATCTACCCACCCTAAATTGACAAGTTATGTTATTAATATTTATTTATCATTTCTATATAAAAAAATAGCGGATCCAATATTATATATCTATGTATCATACAATAAAGCATTCTAATCCATTTCTGTACTCAGTGTAATCATTTATAAAATACACAAGAACATTTAAAAAAGGAACACCAAGGGTCCCTAAAAAGCGTTTTAAGAAAACAGACAATCCAATGACCAGGAGACAAACAGCAGTAGTCTACAAACACTAACAAGAATCCCACCAAGACCGAGGGTAAACTAAGATACTCCGGAACGGTCAGTTAATTATGCTTCATTAGTAAAAGCCGCGTTGATTACGCATTATAGCAGATTTGTGAATGTCTCTTGGCATACACGAAGACATAAGCATAGTCATAAACCATCGGTACATGTAAATCGCCTTACCCTTATATGTGACCGCAACTTAAACCTATGAAATGTGAAAGTTCGTTCTCATAAAATATGATTACAAAAACGTTACCAGTAGAAACAATACGGACAATAAAATAAAATAGCAAGAAATACATCACTGAAAAGTTGTACAATGTCAACTCTAATTTTACTATTATGAACCTTTTGATCAATAGCTTCCTTGTTAGCAACAACTTTTTATCATGAAAAAAAAAAATGGTAAGAAATCTTTTGTTATAGACAAAATAAGATGTAAGGTATCCATCAATGAAACAGCAACTCAAAAATTTAAAAGACAAGTGGTGTCTTAATAGGTCAAGCTCTACATCTCCCCGAGTTTAAAAATATGAAAACAACACGTTATAACTTTCATGCGTCGGAAGCGTTTTTCTGGATTTACCTTCATCAGGAAAGCTCAAAGCCGAATATTTGAAAGCCAAGGATGTATAAGAACCGTAACATTTGAAGAGCTATATGACCAAAAAGTACCTGGAAATAGCCAAATCCATCTAAGGTCAACTTTGCCTGAAGGAGTTGAAACCTTAGTTTCTTTAGAATTTAAAAATTTATAAACAGACAATTTTAAAAGGTTTGTTAAAAATTATGTCAGTATCGAAGTATTGACTACTGAGCTGATGATACCCTCGGGGACTGATAGTCCACCAGCAGAGGTATCAACCCAGTGTTGTAAAAAATGAAAACAACACGTTATGAATTGCATGCGTCCGAAGCGCTTTTCTGGATTTACCTTCAACAGGAACGCTAAAAGCCGAATATTTGAAAGCCAAGGATGTGTAAGAACAACATCAAATAAAATTAACATGCTATATTAGATAAATATCATCAACAACAGTTTACTAGAAGACAAAACTATTATGGTTATACAAAAGACAATGATGATGATGTTTGGTGATGGATGATGGATAGCTATTTATAACTTCCAGGGTGAATTTAATGCATATTCAGGACGAGAACATGTTAATGTGATATATATACATATATATATATATATATATATAACGAGAGAAATTTATGTATTACTGAAAAATTATAACACCAGGGTTTTCGATATCACAAACTAGTCAAAACATTTACTAAATTTTATCATCGGTATAAGGACATCATTCGTAAATATAGCTCAACATGCAAACTTCTTATACGTTCAGGTATTTCACATCCAATTTTTTATGGAAATATTATCTATAAAGCACAAAAATGTCAGTATTCACCTCTGAAGCTAACAAAACCTTTAAATAGACTTATTAAGAAGGGATATAGTTACGATACTGTTGTCAGGTCATTAAAGATTGCATATTTTGGCGTTAATATTGATTCACTTATAGGGTCTTTGCATCGGCACTAAACACATTTATTTAAAAACCAGTTGTTGGCATGACACGGGTTATGTTCTTCTCATATATGTTATGATGGTATGATACTAAACCCCTAACGGGAAGGATTGTGCCTGATATTCATATGATGAAGACATAATCTTTCAATCAGTTTAATTGAAGTCTGGAGCTGGCATGTCAGTTAACTGCTAGTAGTCTGTTGTTATTTATGTATTATTGTCATTTTGTTTATTTTCTTTGGTTACATCTTCTGACATCAGACTCGGACTTCTCTTGAACTGAATTTTAATGTGCGTATTGTTATGCGTTTACTTTTCTACATTGGCTAGAGGTATAGGGGGAGGGTTGAGATCTCATAAACATGTTTAACCCCGCCGCATTTTTGCGCCTGTCCCAAGTCAGGAGCCTCTAGCCTTTGTCAGTCTTGTATTATTTTTAATTTTAGTTTCTTGTGTACAATTTGGAGTTTAGTATGGCGTTCATTATCACTGAACTAGTATATATATTTGTTTAGGGGCCAGCTGAAGGACGCCTCCAGGTGCGGGAATTTCTCGCTGCATTGAAGACCTGTTGGTGACCTTCTGCTGTTGTCTGTTCTATGGTCGGGTTGTTGTCTCTTGACACATTCCCCATTTCCATTCTCAATTTTATGAACCTTGCTTTGTACTAGATCGACACGCTGAGCCGGATATATGTTACTTGATATTTCACAAGGTAACAGGTAACATGTCAACCTACCCAGACCCATTATTCTGGCCCCTAGAGACCAGTCTTTGCTTTAACGTTCAAATACAATTGTATTTCAAGCATTTGGCTTGACTCGGCCGGGGATTGAACTCTGGATCTCCCAAACTTTAGGGAGCACGAGACGGAGTTAATCATTGAGGGAAGCCATTTGGATATGTGTTTGGGATGTGTTTAAGATATATCAAAATCTTAGTTTAATTTGTGTCAAAGAAATAGCAAATTTATACGAGAACCTTGAATAAAAATCAGTGCAAAAAGGGGGTAATCAGAAACCTTGAGTCGAAAAAAAAGCACCTAGCAAAACAATGTAATGATTTCACATAATACTAAAAATTGAGAAACACGAACTGGGCCAGTATAAGTAATAAACAAAAAGTACAATCTAAACACAAATGACAAAGCTGAAACCAATAAAATCTGCTAATATGAAACATGCCTTTCTATATAGAAATAGGAGATGTGTATTATGGCCAATGATTTATACACTATAATGAAAGTCGCCGCAAATATGTAACTAAAAATTGCACAGAATTTTGATAACTGAAAAATTAAAATAAAATTTCAAATAATAAATACCCGAATTCCGAATTGAACTTTACATCTCCATCCCCCGGTCAAAGTCTCCCCCAACAAAAACAAAAAAAACAGACCAAGTTTTAATTATATTTAGTACATGAAAAAAGGCCGAAGATACCAAGGGGACTTTTAAAACTCAAAAATCAAGGAAAAACTGACAAAATTTCGCATGACAAAAAAACTGGTTACTGGCCAAAACTTGTCTTTGATGAATAGTTTTTAAGCGATGTTACCTAAAGCATGAAAATGTTTACAAGCGATAAAACAAAATAAATAAACCCCTGTGTGCTAGCTGTAATACTTTGCGTTTTGTAGTTCTTGTCAAAATGTTGATATTTTTATTTGAGAACTTGGTCTTTAAATATTTTTAAACGTTTAGGGCAAGGCAATCAAACCTATAAATATAAAAATCATGCATCAAATCATTAAATAAATTCAATAATTTGTTGATATTACCCTATAATTATGTTCCTTAATGGAGATATATTTATACAGTGTTATTGTTATCATGTTGACATTTCTCTGACATAACAAATCACCTGGACAAACGCCATATGCTTCATCAGATAGTATGATATTACTCATAAATGGAAGGTTGACAATAAAACTGAATTCATATCGTTTATTAAATAGAGGCGGAATATACAAAAGGGATGTTTAAACTCAGAAGTCAATGGCAAACCGACATCGCCATGAAAACACAAAAGAAGAAAAAAGACCAAAAGATAAACAACAGTATATAAACACAACATAGAAAACTAAAGACTGAGCAACACGAACCCAGCCACAAAAACCGTCAGGTTCTCCGGAAAGGGAAAGAGACCCTTCTCAAGATGTGACACCTGTCATTATTCTCATGTGAGTACAGACTCAGTGATAAGTCTATAAAAATGCCGTTGCAAAGTTGTCCCTATCTAAAACATGAAAATCAGTGGCCATTGGTTGATATGAATAAAACCAGATTTTGACGACTATAAAGAGTTAAAAAAATAGTTATAAGTTATTCAGTTTTCATTTCCCGGTTAATCTACTAACCTATGAAATGTTCCAGACGTTTTACATTGACCATTTTGTATTGAATTGTCTAGAGAAACATGTTTGATATATTTTTTTTAACTTTTAAATTCATGGATACATATTTTTCGAGTATACAAGAATAATTATTTTAAATGTCCATCCAAGGACATTTCCCTATCTACCTGGAAAAGGGTATGTGATTTTTCATATTCATTATAATTGTTTGTAATTCTAATGGAATCATTTTTGAATTTTCACTAAATCTCAGTTCTTGGATTATCAATGTTTTAACTTTATTATTACTTTATTTAGAAATCTATTAGCATACACTACTTTTGTTCAGGAACTTATTGACAGGAAAGGCGTAAAATTTTATCAACAAATAATAGAAAAACCAATGATATGGAGTATCCATCCATGTCACAAAATCAATACATGCCCAGCAAAAAACACACAAAAAGCAAAAAAAAAACAGCGCTTTAATTGATATTCTTCATCCCAAAGTCACAGTGAGGTCTTCAACACGGAGCAAAAAAAACTATCACCTCATTGCAAGTTTAAGGCAGCCCCTAGCACCGGCTTCAGCGGATTTCTTTGCAAAAATAATTAGTTTATTGTGATTTTCAGTATTCAAAGTATACAGTTTAAAAAATAAAGTAATAATTTAGTAAAGGCATTACCAATGTATATACTAATAGATACACGCCAGGAAACAAATATTGTCACGATCTTTGTTTATTGCAAATTTTAACTCATTTACAGGTTTTTATATGTAATTGGTAAAGAAAAGTGTACTATAAGTACTTCTTATACCTTTATTTATTTGTACTAGAAAA